ATAGCTTCATTTTCTCCATAGTTATATGTCATTATATCTACAGGATTTTGAGTTGTGTGTATCTTCTTCAAAGACAATTGATCATCTTATAAGAGTGAATGAATGAAATGATACATTAGTTAAATGTGCTTCATCCTGACATGAAATACGACATTCATTGCTAGATGAATATCATTCATATTGTCACTATGAAATTTTTAATTCTCTTGCTCTTTGCCGAATTTTGTCATAAAGCACTGTAGCCAAATAATTTTTTCACTGCCCTCAATGATAGCAATATACTCAGCTTCAACAGTTCATAAAGAAACGACCTTCTGTAACTTGGAAATCCAACTCACTATTGTACTCCCCAAAGTGTAGAGATAATATGTTTTACTTCTTCTACCATCAATATTTTCTGTCAGATCTAAATCTACATATCCTTGTAGATCAATCTCTGCACTCCCAAAACAAAGTACTATGTTTATTGTTCCTCTCAAGTATCTGAGAATCCACTTCACCAATTCTCAATGACATTTCCCTGGATTACTCTAGTACCTAATGACCATTCTCACTACATGTGCAATATATGTTCTTATACATACCATCACATACATAAAGCTTCCAATAGGCAAAGAATAGAGGGTTCCTTTTATCTGTGTTTGATTTGTTTTAGATATAGTTGATTGTTCCTTAGATGTCCTAAAATGTCAAGCTAAGAGGGTGCAAATAGATTTTGTTTCTTATGTTGAACTTGTGTAGAACCTTCTCAACAAATTCTGCCAGGATAGCTCCAATATACTTGAACTCATGTCTCTACTGATTTTCATTCTAAAGATTTTCTTAGTTTGATCTAAATCTTTCATTTCAAACTCCCTTAATAATTGCTCATTCATGTCTCTAATCTTCCTACATATATGCTCCTATAATCAAACATGTCATCGACATACACAACAAGCATAATATAACAATTATTAAAATATTGAATGAAAAAATAGTGATCCTGTTAAGCACTTCGTGTACCCACTGTCAGATATGAACTTGTCAAACCTCATGTACCACTATTTTAGGGAATGTTTCAAATCATAAAGACTCTTTTTCAGTTAACAGACCATGTCTTCCTTTCTCAAAGTTTTATATCTCTGTAGTTGCACCATGTACAGTTCTTCTAACCCACATTGTAAGAATATTGTCTTCATATCCATATGCTCCAAATCTAGGTCTTCTAATGCTACTAATCTCACACAACTCTAGTAGTTGTCATCTTCACTATAGGAGAAAATATCTATATATAGTCAACTCCTTCATTTTGTTCAAATCCCATTACAACAAGCCTTGTCTCATAGCAATTATTAAAAATCTAATTCTTCTTTCAGCTTGCAGACTCACTTGTGCAACGCCTTTTTGTCATCTATTAATCATGGCAATTCTCATGTATGATTTGATATTAATGTTTGCATCTTATCATCAATGACAAAATTTTACTCCTATGATTCATCAACTTGAGTCGCTTAATATAACACTCTGGTTCACTATTATCAGTTAGCAATATATAGGACAAAGAAAAGGAATGTTTTTGTATGAATCATGTGATTCTATTGGACCCCTTGATTTCAATAACAAATGTTTGAGGAACTTCAATTGTTTCTCAAATTGAGCAATATTTCTTTCTCCATCTTCCTAATCGCTTAATTCTTCTCTCAACATGTTTGGAGGGGTCTTCAGAGGCAATTGATGGACAAACCTAAGTTATGTTTTTGTCCATGTACATCTTCATTTCATTGAAATTAACATCCCTACGCCTAATGAATTTTTTATTATGAAAATCTCAGCTTTTGTAACCAAATTCATCTGAGTCATACCCAATGAAAGTACATTTGATAGATTTTGGATCAAGCATCAACATGAACATATGATGAACTAAATAATTTCATTTACTTGTTTGTCACTCCATGCTTCTTCAAGTCTGTCTTCACTCAAAAGTATGGATGGAACAATATTTTTTAGATAAATTGTAGTGTTCACTTCTTTTGCCCTCAACTGTTTTGGCAAGCCTACATGCAACCTCATACTCCAAACACGCTTTATGATTGTTCGATTCACGGGACCAACAACATCATTTTATTGTGGTGTCATTGGAACAGAGAACTCATGTATAATTCATTCTAAAGCACAATAGCTTATGGACCTCCGATCATAATACTCATCACCATTATTTGATATTAGACAACTCAACCTCAAGTCTGTCTCACTTTCAACCATAGCTTCTCACTTCTTAAACACACCAAACACATTATATTCATATTTTAAGAAATACACATACCTTTATGTTGTGATAATCATGAAAATGACAAAGTATTGAGAGTCTCCAATAGACTGAATGATAGTAGGATCTCATACATCAACATGCATTAACTCCAATTTTTTTTTACTTCACTTTGACCCACTTTTAGAAAAAAAAAAAAGGTAACCTTCTTATGCTTGCCATAAACACGATCTTCACAAAAATCTAAACTTATTGATTTTATACCCTAAAATTTGTTTTTAGAAAGTAGAGACTTCATACATTTTCCACTCATATAGCCAAGCCTACGATGCCAGACCCGCATGAACCTTTTCTCCAACTACTCCAATGAATTTAGACAATCTCATTGATCATATAGAGGGTGATTTTAATGTTACCTCAAGCCATCACCATTTTTTTCTTTTAGTCACCTTCCAATCACATGTGAAAGTCTTCACATATCCTGATCTTGCAAACTAACAATCAATTTTTTTTCAAACATGGAGCATGTCCTACATCATTCAGTTTACAGATAGATCCATTTGGCAATATGATATCAACATAGCTCCTCAAAATACTACAAGCCTTGTTGTCTCACAAATACATCTTCTCTAGATCACTTTGAGTGTAGTTTTTAAACATCTCTTTATTGGGGCAAGCATGAAAAGAAGCACATGAATTTATTATTCACGATTAGAAATAAAATATAGGAGTCACCTTGAATTTTATTTGTGGAAATATTTGTGGAGAGTTTTCTACATGTACCTCCACAACCATTCTTCATCAGAGCTTTATTGTCTTTCTTAAAGTGACATTGCTTCCCGCAATTCCAACATTTGCCTCTGCTTTTTCTCTTCCTGCCCTAAACTTTACTCTCTTGGACTTGAATCTGTCCCTACTTGTGTTACTATAGATATTCCATTTTCTAGTTTCAACAATCAAAACAAATTTTGAAGTTTCACTGCATGTCTTCTTGTGAACTTTTTCATTCAACATTAACCCCATAATATCATCAACGTTTAACTACATATTTCCTTAAGAGTTACTCACCACAATAACAAATCCATCCAACTATCTAGCAATGAAGATTAGAGTAACATTGTCCTAATCTCATCATCAAACTTGATGCGAATATAACACAACTTATTTATCACAGTTTTGAAGTCATTCAATTGTTCGGCCACTAAGTTATCATCTACTATCTTGCTAGTGCTTTTATGAGATCAACAATAGTCTTTTCATTCAAAATGTTAGTCTTATTCAAAATGTTGAAAGCAACAAACGAGGAAAGTAAAAAATAGAATCAAACCTAGAGTTATTCGATCAAGAACTTCCCATTTTTCTAGTCATCGATTTCGACTTCTTGGTGATTTCATCTGTTGACAAATACAATTTCTTTTAAAATAACAATAATCAAATTGCATTTTCAAGAAAATAAAGTTTGAATCATTGAACTTCTCAAATTTGTACCTCACTTCATCGGTCATTGCTTCCATTCAAACCAAAAAACTTCAAAAATCCCGCTCTAATACCATTTGTTGTGAGAGACTGTGGAAATCAATTCGAGATTCGAAGCATAACGTTGAACATAAGCATACAAAGCCATAAAACACAAATAACAACAAAATTAACATAAAAAAATTCAAGAACAGGAAAAAATCACAGAGCCACACCGTTAAGAAATCTACCATAAAACATGAGCAGAATTGTACAGATTACACCACTTTCAAACCTCTGTACAAATTTGAGAACTCAAGAATACTCTTCTTCCAAGATAAATGGTTGAAATTCAACAAAATGCACACAATTTTGTAACGAAGCCTAAACATAAAGCCTCAAATCGTTGAATTTAATTATTGGCATCGGGGCACTATGAAAGGGCACACTAGAGCTCCGTAAGACACAGTGGTGCTGACCTCTAAGCGTTGCATTGTTGAACACTTGGGTTCTTGGACTTGTGTTGAGCACAGCGGTGCCCATCTTGGGGGCCGCATTATCGAGCGCTCTATTCGAGGACATGCACCGAGCACGACGGTGCTAGATACAAGAAAAAAATGTTGAGCAAAACCCCCTAACTAAAACAGTGGTTCACCACCCCGCCACCCCCACACATTTCCCGAGCAAACTCACCAAGCTTGGTTGGCAAAACTAAGAGCTTTGAGTGACCAGTTGATCGCCACAATCACACTCCACATCATAAAATAAACAGATAAGAGTTCTGTGACATGTACCCCAAAAAAAATTTAAAAGAATAACTTGAAAAGCTAACCCAGAGGATGACTAGCCGTGGATAATAATAAAGAAAAGAAAAAGACAAAACTGAAACTAAGCCAACACATTAAACGCAAAAGAAAACTGTAAAAATTATCAAGCTGAGAAGTCAATACGAGAACATAAAACTTATAAAGCTTAGATTTTTGGAGTGTTTTTAGCCGAAGTTATGTATTTATTGAAATCGATTATGAAAACTCGAGAACATCAATGTTCATGTTCAAGAAAAAATATTGCATGCAGAGCAGCGAAGAATGGCCGCAAGCAAAATTTTATCCACGTTCAGGCAGCAGACCAATGCTTGCCTTTGAAAGCTCCATAGCACTAGAGGAGATGAGAATAAAAAAAAATTATAAACATAAAAAAATAAATAAATATTAAAGACTAATACTAGTCCTGAGATAATAAGATGAGCTTCAAATGTTTTAATTTGGAAAGAACACATCATAGCATAAAACAAAATAGAAATATATATATAACAAAAACAGGAAAATAGGCCTCACCCCATAAAAATGAAAGTTTGTGGAACAAATAGGTCAAAGAAAGATCAACACGGAGATTCGTAAGCATGAAAAAAAAGAATCAATGACTCATAATTTAAAAGTTTTACAGTAAAACACAGAGTAGAAATAGCTTTATAGAGGCAAGGAGCCTGATATCGAGTAAAGCTCAAACTCAGCCAAGAGCTTTGCTGCCCTTCTTCTCAAATGATCATTCGTGTTCTCTTTGCGAAGCGCAGACAAGTGTATAAGAGGGATCCTTACCTCATGACTGTAGCTATCTGAGACCTCCCTGACCGTAAACACCATCTCCAGCATCGCAAGCACTTCCTCAATCAAAGCCGGATTTTCGCCATTCAAAATAGGAAGCATTGGTTCTATGGCCCCAACTTTATGCAGAACAGTTGCACCTCTTGCTACAATTCCCTGAACTAATGTTTTCAGTGCAAGAATTGCCTTCAGTTTTACTGCATCATCATGATCTTGAAGCAACTTCACCAGCGGTGATAGAGCATCAGCCTTCAACAAACAGAAGCTAGATTCAACAGAACATATTCCGCCATGAACTTCACAAGTACGAATTCGCTTCCTGAGAAAACAAAAACATCCTTCTCGATATGGCGCTTTTGTCAAATTGAGGCTGTTTGATGACAGGTCCCCAATAAGTTCTGCTGCTCTTGCTTTAGCTGTCCCACTTCCAGTTAACAGAATGTTCACCAGCAAAGGATAAACTCCTGATTGAACCATCATTTTCTGCATATCTAAGTCAGCAGGAGTCATGAAGCCAGAAAGCAAATGAAGTACATTTTCTTTTGCTTTCATACTGCCCATGTCTAATATGTTCAAAATTATAGGTATTGCCCCAGAATCTGCTAAGCCTTTGATAAGATCAAAGTTGGTATTTCGAAGATTGGTCAACAAGTCTATTGCTATAAGCTGATGTTGTGGTTGGTTATCATCTTTAAGGAAGTGCATGAATGTCTCCAATCTCCTGCCAACTAGGAGGAAATCTGTGATACGAGATGGCTCATTCTGAGAGAATTGATGGACAAGCTCAAGTGCATAATTCTGAATTTCTTTATCAGAATCCTCAAGCAGAGGGAGAATACTAGGAAGACCATTTTGGATGGTAACTGCACTCTCGGCAGCTACTTCTGCAGACTTGCAGATCCTAAGAAGAGCTCTAAAAGCAGGCTTTCGTATACCATTGGAGGTGCTTGAGCTCTCAAGCACAGAAATTAAGTTGGTTATCATCAGCTCTTGATCATGAAGTACAACGCCAGTACCAGTGAGAAATTCCAAGCCAATAGAAGTAAGCTTCTCAAAAATTTCAGAGCATTTTTCTCTGATAATAGGGGAGACTTGTGGTGAAGATATCTGTTCGAGAATGAGGGGAACTGCTCCAGCTTCTACAACTAATCTTCTATTCTCATAAGAAGTGCACAGCTTAGCCATGACTGAAAAAGAAAGCTCCCTGGATTCAGCATCTCCTGATGCCAACATTATCAGAGGATTAATCACTCCATCCTCTCCAAGATGCTTTACATCCTCATCAAGTAATTGCATTCCTTCAAGGCCTCTCATCATAGATTTCTTTGATAACTCTGGCCCTGCAATTTCATTTAATGAATGAAAAAGATTGTTTGAGCCAATCGTTTTAACTTAATCAGAGGAAAAATATAGAAAATTTAATTCGGAAACAAAAATTCTGCTATCCTTCTATTAGTAATGCTATTTACTGCAAAGCAGCTCATGACTAAACTAGGAATAATTATCTACTTAACTGCTCATAGCTCTATCTTAGCCATTAGAGTATTAAAAAAAATTCTAGATTTTTGGGTGCCATAGATTTCTTTCAAAAGTATCCGGTTACTCCACCATTCTTCAAGCCAAATTCAAGTCTTATATTTTGGATAATGAATACTCCACAACATTATCAGATACTCCGCACATGTATCTGGACTGAGTTTCAAGCAAGGGTATTTGGATGCCAAGGTCTTTTTTCAAATATTTTGAAGAACTTTTAGTATCTTTATTATGTGATCTTGAACAGTTGCATTGACAGACTTTTCTTCTCTAAAGAGAGATATGACCATTGTCCATTTTCATTCCTCAAATTCAAAATCACACTAATGATTTTCATTTACAGTATGAAAGTACACAGGGATTAAGCTTCATCAATTTTCATAAAAATTATAGAATTCATTAAACATAAATAAAAAAAAAGTTTTAGAAGGTATATAGACACACAAAAATGGATAGAAGACAGTCTTTTAAAACCTAAATTAAAATAATGCATGCATCTTGAGACGATAAAATTTGAACATGTTCAAGTCATGTTCAAACATCACAAAATGTTTTAAAAATGTCATATATGCACAAACATAAACGCCTCAAAAAAAAGCATGCAAGTACCTTATACAAGTGCTTAGTGCAAATGCACCGAAAGTTCTTCAAATGCTTCTTATAGGTGCACCAAAATTATGCAATTGTTTATGTAAGTGCATTAAATGTTGAACAAATATATTATGTAGGTCGACCAAAATAGATGCACGACACATCAAAACTAATTCCGTGCACATGTATTTTGACAAATGAGTTAAATACTTGAATTCAATGTCTAAGAATGATGCCAAACTGACTTAAAATGAACTCAAAGTACCCCACTCAAAGAAATGTGAGTGTTCGAAGAACTTGCACTTGTTTGGAAAAATCCAAACACATTTTAAAAGTTCGAGCTCAAATTAATCAAGCTGAATTTTCTCTCGAGCGGGTCATCTTGCTTAAGGCAAAGTTGTAAGCCTCACATTTCAAATCTGATCTTATGTTCCTACAGCTAAAGTTAATAAAACTTACCTCATGTCCGACATCTATATTTTTTTTATAAAAGGCAAATTCATTGATGTAAAAGGAAGATACAAAGGTTTTAGTGAGTGGGTACAAAGAGCTCACTCACAGGGAATACAACTCACTCTAAAAGAGACTTTAAAATACTCATATACCCCAAAAAAGAGAAAAGAAAACTCCTATTCATGGTGGGTGAATTTGGCACTTCCCCTCCCTCTGGTTCTAGGGAGAGAGTCCAACACCAGACTGAGATGTGGGCTTCCCAAAACTATCAAACCGTCATCCTGAAAATTTTCGAGTTCTAGCATTTCTTTTTTCTTCTTCCTAGATTTGTAAACTTGTCATTCATCTACCAGTATGTCCCATCTGATCTATTTGTGGATATTCGATGGAGAACTCACCCAGAGGGGTATGTTGATCCGTAAATTATTGATCAGTCTCTGCCTGCAGAACACCTTGATCACGGTGCTCCTCCAGGGCTTGGTTACCTTTTCCTCTCACGATAAGTGGTTCCAAAACATGCCGGCTAGCATCTGCTACAACCAAATTCGTAGTATTTATGATATGAGAAAGAACTATTTCAACAGCAGTGGGAAGTAGCTAGGGAACTGGTTGGTGAGAAATAGCCTAATGAGACAAATTTTCATTCAACATTTCTGGAAGATCTTCAGTTTCTGCTATATTTTCCTCCACTTGGGTGATGTTATTAGGGACTGCAAAATTCAAATGCACAGGGAGGTTGGATCTCAAATGTGGATGAAACCTGAAACATTTGGCAAATGTGTGCCCAATCAGTTTATAGTGATTACAGTAATAGAGTCTTTGCTCTGTGACAATTGGCTGTCAATATCCATTGTGGGTAGTACCAAGTCATATTTCTTCCACATCAATGAGAGTGATATCCCTTTCAACAAAAATCCTTGCGACTCTCTCGTTGTTTTAAACCTGAACAACCACCAAACTTTTATCCCCTTCCAAACTCTGTCGATCTTGCATAATCTCATTTTCTTGCTATTTCACAACCACCTCCCCATTAAATCCAATCCTTAAATACCTTCTAGGAATCCTAGAATGATGTCATTTTGTATCAAAGTTCGACAAACATTAAATTTTTAAGGATTTTTCTTCTTCGCTCCTAACCTAACTGTTCCATGAAATCAATACACTAAAAACATATATCTCAATTCATACCCCTAACCCTAAACTTTTAAAAACTAACATTCCTACCTCCATAAATATTCCATTTGAAGACATGCCACTTAAACTTTAACCACTGGTCAACATTTAATCAACAATTTTACATCAATCGAAACCTAATTAAGGATCAAATCATTATGCCGCCAAGGAGAGATATTCCAAAACTTACCATAGAGGATATACAATGAGAAAATCTCCAATTACAACAGATGCTCGTTAATTTTGAAAGAAGGCAATAAGGGGAAGTCACCCACAACAACAACGGTGATCACCTAAATGGAATAGATGAAGATAAAGCAAGAAACTTGTAGTGATGCTGCATCTTTTCGACAGAGTATATGAGAGAGTCACTTTAGTGTAAAGGTGGATTTAACAAATCAAAATTTGACGGTCACAAGGATCTGGAAAAATTCATTGAATGCCTCCAAACTGTGAAACAAATCTTTGATTACAGGATTGTTCCACCTGAAAAATGGATCAAGCAAGTTGCCCTCAAGTTAAAAAAGAATATTTCCCTATGGGAAAAAAAAGAAATATCTAAACCAACTTGAGGAAAAAAATAAAATCACGATCTAGTTTGTAAGATGAAAAGGAAAATGCAGAGCAAAGACCTGCCAACACATTACAAATTGAATGTCTTTTTGACATTTTATTATTTGTAGAAGGATCTATTAGTAAAGAATTACACAGCTGAGCTTACGTTGAAATTTGAGTTGATGGAACTAAATGAAAACACTAGAACTGATATCTTGGAGAATTGAGGGCATTTATTAGCAATGCGGTGCAATTATAAACCTATTAGATGTTACAATGTCCAAACCTTAGCCTTGAAGACGGAGAGACAATACAGTGATATCAATCCCACAGCAACTTTCAAACAAGGATAAACGATTTGGATCGGGCACTAAAAGCATACCAATCAGAATACCCAGATCTAACATTTCTGGGAAAAAGTCAGCACATGAGAAAAAGATGACTGATTGGAGCAACACCCCCAAAACATTTCTAGTCGGGCAGAGTTTTAAGTGTCATAGATCTTGTGTCCAACTGCCTAAACATGAGAGTGATTTCTTTTATTGAGCATGATACAGGAAAGAGGCAAAGAGTAAAGACTCAATAGACGAGATGCTTGTGATTCAACGAGTATCAATTGCACAAAAATGATAGTGAGATGTTTGTGATTCAACAAGTTCTCCAGAACGAACCTAAAAGAGATTAACAATGGCTTAGACATAACATCTCCGCACCCTTTATATTGCGGAGGCAAATGTGTGCAATCTCTTTAAAAAAAAATTGAGAAAGTTATGAAAATATAGTATCTATATAAATGGACAATCAATTGATCCTTACTATCCAAGAACATTTCCAATCATATTTCATGACTTGGTTGAAGAAAGGGAATAAGATCAATGTTGACAAGAAGTGTCTGGTAGAATTTTCAATTAGCAACAAGATGCAGAATTATATGTAGTGTAAAATCGTGCATGTGGATACATGTCGTTATTTTTTGGGCCGACCGTGGCAATATGACGAGTACACTTCATCATGGCCAAAAGAAATACTTACTCATTTATCAAGGATAGGAAGTGTATTGTACTTCTATTAGTAAAGAAGTAAACGATGATAAAAACTCAGATAAAGATAGGAGTTGTAGTGTCTCATGTCAGAGAGAGATGCCAGTGAAACTGGCCTTGGTATTGTTTGAAGGCATTGATCCAAAGAGCCAATGCCTGAGGCAATGCGACTCTTATTGAAAGAGTTTCATGATATATTTTGACTGATAATTTGCCAATTGGTTTACTACCTCTATGAGAGATTCAACATATTATGGACCTTATCTTAGGACTAGTGATCTCCAATCGTCCAGCCTAATGTATGAAACCAACAAAATATGAAGAGCTATAGAAGTAGATTGAGGTTTGAAACCCCGAGGACTAGTAGATTAGAGAATCACTCTGTGTGTCATATGAGCATTGATTGTGCCCAAAAAGAATGCTTTGTTGTATATATGCATGGATGGTAGGGTTGTGAACAAGATCATTGGCAAATTTTAATTTTTCATTTTGAGAATGGATGATTTACTTGATCAATTACATGGAGTCGGTGTCTCCTCCAAGATCAATTTGCGCAGTGATTATCACCAGACTATGAGACCAAGAGATAAGTAGAAGACAACTTTCAGGACATAAGATGGATTGTATAAGTGGACAATCATGTATTTTGGCCTGTCTAATACACCGAGCATTTTCATGAGGCTGATAAACCAAATCTTCCAAGCCTTCATTAGAAAGTTCCTCTTTAGACTGTCCAACACAACAAGCATTTTCATGCGGTTGATGAACCAAATCTTTCGAGCTTTAATTGGAAAGTTTATGTTGGTATACATAACAATATTCTGGTGTACAATCGTTCAAAGGAGCATATCAACATTCATGACATATTTGGGGTTCTTGGAATAGAACATATATGGTCTCCCAAAAAAAGTCACTTTCTTACACTAAAGACGTGATTTCTAAAGTACATTATACAACTAACAACATGAAATGGACCAAACGAAGATCAAGGCTACCATAGCCTGGCCTAGACCACCATTCTTTACTCGGCTAGGCAGTTTCATGGACTGGCTTTTTTTTACAAGAAATTTTTCAAGAATTTCAGCTCTTTTGTGACACCCTTTACGGAGCTCCATAAGGCAACTAGTTTTGCTTGGTCATATGAGAAAAAAACAAATTTTTATGCTTTGAAGAAAGAGGTTACTCTAAGTCCTTATTCTAGCTCTTTATGAATTTAACCAAGTGTTTGACGTAGAATGTAATGCTTTCGATGTGAGAATTAGAGTTGTGTTAAATCAATGACACTATATAACTATTTTCAATGAAAAGTTGAATAATTCTAAAAGAAAATATCCCACATATGACAAAAGTTAATGCCAATATGAGGGCGCACTCAATCACTGGTCATTATCTTCTAGAAAATGAGTTTACTCTATGCACTGACTACAATGCCCTGAGATTTTTGAACAACCAAAGTAAGCTTAAGGGGGTGTTTGGTAGGATACTTTTAGCAGGATTAAAATATGAATTTAACGTATATCCACCAAACTCCATAAATAGGTTGGATAAATTTGTAAGTTAAATCCAAATTTTGCTTGTTCCATTTATTAAATCCATTTATTAGTTAGATTTAACAGATTTAGCTTGAGAAAAGATATTTGCAACCAATCCACTAGCAAGTCAACACATCTAGCTCATTTGAAATTGTAAACAAGAGTCATCTTCTCACTCCATTGGAGTTAGTGCTGATAATTCCAACTATTAAGCTTAATACAAATGCAGGGGTTAGGTCTAAGATGTTCTGATCGTAAAATGCTAAAAATCAAAAGTAGACCAACAAATCTATGAAATTCAAGGCCTTCAAAGAATATGACTTGGTGTGGATTAGACTGAAGAAGAAGCGGTGTCTTACAGGTTCATTTTGAAAGCTCAAGCCTAGAATAGATAGTCCATTCAGAGGCTTCATGAAGATTAATGCCAATGCTTATAAGATAAATTTTTCAAGTGATTTCAATATTTTTGTCAACTTCAATCTTGTTGATTTGTTGCCATACTACAAGGATTTCAGTGTTTTCATAAGATGAAGATGAGGTCTCTCCCGCCCATGGAGAATGATGCGAGAGCATCCCAAAGGAACCCATAATTGTTATATAAACAAACAAAAATTCCCATTGTATTTACCGCTCCAGCTCTTATGGGCCCAATTTTATACTACTAAATAGAATAAAGATTTGTTTTATTTGAGAACTACTTATATGTTTGTCATGGATTGATTTGGGGGACTTGCTTTGATTTAGGCATTTGGAGATCTTGTTCTCTATTTTTATGAAGCCCAAAGGAGTGAAGTATCTTCTTCCTTTTGCAAGTGGTGAGTTTACAACTTATTCAAGAAAAAGTGATGCATCTCTCTCGATAAAAGAGCCTTGTCGGAGAAGTTATTTTGTCGTTCCCTCCAATATTTTTCATCCTGAACAATCGCCAAATTACTTCTATCTTTTTCCAAACTTCGTCAGCCTCACATATACTTGCTCCCTTACTATTCCACACCCACCTCCCAGCTAAATCCAGTCCTTAGACAACAATTAAGAACCCTAGAACAATGGCACTAAATAAATTAGGATTCAATCTTGAGATCTTAATAGGGTTTTTCATCATTTAAAATGAAGGCTATTAACTTTTATAACCTATAAGTAAAATTGTCGTTGTTATACACAAAGTAATTAGCATCTACTAATTAAGTTGATTCAAAAGTTCACTCTTATCATGAAGAGGGGTAAATAATTATAGAGGCTTAAGCCTATATCAAACCTGAAACCAAATCATATCCTCAAGACAAAAAGTGAAATCACTATGTAGCATCTTACATATAAGCTAATTTGCCTTTTTGACCCAAAACACAACTCTCTTGAAAGAGCCGAACGCAAAATTTTAGAAGCCCACGGTTCCTAGTAATAAACAAATTAAACTAACAACATTCACTAAAAAAAGATTAGTTTCTGAAATTAATATTTATATTAGCCAAAAAAAGGAAAATGACAAACAAACCCATAATGTATTTCAATTATGTTTGGTATACCCAAAGTTAGGTCTTTCAATGAGACTGGCAACATGACTTCATGAAGGGATGACAACGCTACCTGACTCAAATATGATGCTTTCAGATGGTTGGTGTCGCACACAAACTCACCAGAAATTGATGATTCATATGGGATTTATTTAAAGGTGAATTACAACTTCACTTTTTATCATACATTGCCTATTTGATCCAATAGGCTGTTACTTGGGCATTATAAACTAATTCTTAAATCTGGTTTAAAGTGATCAGACATCCTAGATAACTAGCCAAAAATGAACAGTATTATGTCTATGTACATTCATGAAGGTCGTCAAATATAAGCCAATAATGAATACAATTACGTCTTTGAACATTCATGAAGATGATCAAAAGTAAAGGTTGATGCTCATGTTGTTTAGATTCACCTATTCACGAGCTTCGCAATGAAGTTCATGTGGCTTTCTCCTATTAATGCATTTCTTTTGCAACTTTAGCGCTTTTACGAGTTTTGCACATCTCCTGTTTAACTTTTAAGGCTACCTTCGCATCTCATGGTGGCACTTCTAGTGGAACTTTCTCAATGTTGATTCTCCTGCTATTTGTGAGGGGTTTTGATTTCTTTACTTGTGACTTCTTTTTTGTTACATTATCATATTTGTAACTTTATGAGGTACATAAATGTTAAGCTTGTAAATGAACAATTATTTGGCTTTGAATACATTTTTTTTAGGCGCGCAAATCATTCTTCTGTCTAGCCTTTTAGTTGAGAATGAAACTTCAACATACCAAGAAAAACAGCTCCTAGTGCCTATGCAATGCTTTCCCGTTAATTATTTTTCTCTCTTACCAATTTGTCATTTTCTCCTCTTCAATCTTTCAGTTATATTGGTTAATATTTTCTTCCTGTCATTATGCTTGATTTTTATGATTTTCTATTTATTGTTAATTTTTACCTTTTTTTTTTTGTTTTCATCAAAGGCAGATTTTTATTTTTCGATTAACAAATTATTTTCCTATGAACGTGTATGTTCTTGTAACAATCGATCCATCTAGACATGCTTTATACTTCAGAAATGCATTAAAAATTCTAGCTATTGAACGTCCAACAATAAACTTGACTTAATGTTGAGGTGATATTGCAATTTTTTCAAAATTTAAGATTAAAAAGCAAACTCAACGAGCATAGCAGCAAAGGGGCACAATTTTAATAGACCTACAACAACAATTAACTGAGATAAAAATTAAACAAAGCCATTCTTTTTAACAAGGACAATATAAGTATGAGATCAGATAATTTCAGCACCTAAGGACAAATTAACTCAAAGAAGGGGGAAAAAAAAAAGAGCTAAACTCACCATCGCATAATCGTTGGACAAGTGGCATATACAGATGATAAGAAGCTACAGCTAAAATTGTATCATCATCATCACAACACAGCTGCAACATAATGTCTTCCATCTTCTTAGCTGATTCTGTAAACTGCTTGTCTAGGATGATCAATACAAGAAAAGCAATGGTACCACGCTGTTGTTTTAGTTTACTACATAAATCCTCATTCCACCTGCAATCCTCTTGTGGCATAGCCTGGCCCCACCTATCATTTTCTTGCAAAAGCTCGAAGAGAAGATTGGCTGCAGACATGCACACATTATAATCAAGCCCCACACATGCCACAATGTGGCTGAGTACTCCGGCTGCTACAGCTTTATCCTGTAAAATAAATTCTGCATTATCGTCTGAATTCAAGCTGAGGCATCTGTTTGTTAATGAGCAGGAAAACAGCCATTGTTGAGAACTTTATTTTTTTTAATGAACCATCAGATTGCTATATGCAATGAACAAACCTATCAACAACAAGCCTTTAACCGACTAAGTGAGGCAGGCTCCATGAATCCCTTTTCTCAATCGTATCCTATTAAGTGTCATATTTTCAATTAATTCAAATAAATAAATATCATTTTTTTACAATATTCCCAAGTCTTTTAGGTCTGCCTCTACCTTTTTTAACATCAAGTCAAATCTAAAACATTAACTCTTCTAATTGGGTCATCAAATGGTAGACATTTAATATGACCAAACCATCTATCGCGATTCTCTCTAATCTTGTCCGCCACTAAAGCTACTTCAACCCTTTTATGGATATATTCGTTTTTCATTTTGTCTCTAAGTGTAAAGTCACTCATCCACAAGAACATTCATATCTGATTGACGCTTAATTTTATGCTTTCTCTTTTATGTCAATGTTTTGAGCAAATAGGCCGAATGCCTTTTTCTTTTGCTTTCATTCCAATAAATAATAGTTTGTACAATCTCCTTTAGGCAACCTAATAAATATTCCTAATCTAAATAAGGAGAGAATATGTACAATCAAAAGAAATAACTCAGAAGAGAGAAATTTGAAAATAATTTAAATAAGAAAGCTTCTAATTAAAGGAAACTACTAATTCAGTTGTCTGATTTCTGTGATTCTTGATTGATATCCCCCTCAAATTGATGTTGATTGATCAAGAAACATCAGTTTACTAACAAAAAAATGATGACGCTGTCGAGAAAGAGCCTCAATTGATCCCAAAATCTAAGAAATAATTTGCGCATCCTTTGCCTCCCATTGACCAAGATCTTTCGGCTCTGTAGGTGCATCACTAGGCCCCCAAAACTCCTTCCCTTTCAAAAAACATCTTGAATTGAAATTCTCATGCTGCACAATTATTTCCCGTAAATCTGATAGCTAAGATTTCAGAAGATATTCTAAATAGAATTATCGCTCACAAGTTGATTACCAAGAAAGTCGTTGATCAAAATCAACCTAAAGCCAAAGAAAGCCAAGAGATCCAAAAAAAATTCAAAGAAATCCAAAGAAAACCAAAGAGAACCAATAAATCGTTCACTGCCTTGAATTCGATCCGAGACCGAAGGAGAGGAATCCGAAGCCGAAGCCTATGATCCTTGAGTGAGACGAAGAAGCCGAAGTCGAAGTCGAAGCCGACAATCAATTGAAGACTCGCAAGAAGTAGTCGGAGGAAGACTCGTTGGAAGCATTCGAAGGCGGAAGAAGCAATCTAAGATGCCGCAGAACATAGTCGACGAAGCAGGCGATGAAGCAGTTGAAGATCTAGCAGCGAAGGCTAGCGAAGACGATGATGGCGTTTGGATGAAACCGAAGTGGTCGAAGCGGATTAAGCGGACAAAACTCTTGGCAATTTGTAGTCGAAAATGTCGAAGACGTAGGAAGCAGTCGGCAAAGATGGAATGAGCTCGAAGATGAATACGAACAATTCCCAAAGGCTAGAGAAGACAACAAAAGATTCAGACAGGAAAGATTCGATGTGGTTCTGATACCATGTAAATGTTTTGAGCAAATAGGCTAAATCCTTTTTTCTTTTGGTTTCATTCCAATAAATAATAGTCAGTACAATCTCTTTTAGGTAACCTAATAAATATTTCTAATCTAAAAAACGAGAGAATATGCACGATTAAAAGAGATAAATCAAAATAGAGAAATTTGGAAATAATTTAAATAAGAAAGCTCCTAATTATAGGAAGCTCCTAATTATAGGAAACTCCTAATTCAGCTGCCTGATTCTCAACTATCTAATGCGGCACTCATTTTTTCGTATTCAGGATGTGGGACCCAGTAATAGCAGTGTTGCAATAAACATACCTAACCTAATATGCAAATTGCTTGAATCATTCACACTTATAATTTAATTGAAGTCTATTACTTGAATATTTTTTAAGAATAATTCAGTTAATTCTATTCTTAAAAAAAGATTGGATCAAATTAGCAAGTAGGACTCAGTTTGTTTAACTCTGCTTCTTATAAGGAGAAATATTGGACTTGTTATCTGAAATTTATGAACTTATCTCATAAGCAAAACAACCCACTCAAAAGCAAGCATATATGCCAAATTTGGCTTCTAAATTTGGAAAGAAGAAAGAGTTTGCATCATAATTACAAGTCTTTTTAAAATATTTGCACGCTTTCAGAGCAAGGAGAGTTTGACTCAATTTCAATGTCAATCCACATAGTATTCTTAGATTTTATTTTTGAACAATTAACTCACTAATCAAAGCACATGCAGACAAGTTTGAGTACGTCTTATGTTATTTCACATAGCATTATAAACCATAGATTCGAAGTATTAGTACGTTAGTTTGAAGGTATGTGAAAAAACTTATTTATGCAACATCCTCGATATTAAGATTAACATGCAATGTGTTCATCAGAGCCCATGCAGTCAATTCAAACTAATTTATGCTAGTTCAGATGCTATTATCTGACCTTATAATCAAGAGTGTAAAACACTAGTTAAATCACAAATAGATATTCAATTTTGATAATGTGCAAGCATCTTGGTTTACCTGGATAATGCCCTTTCATGATTTTTTATGATTTTATATGTGCATTTGCATTTTGTGGTTGTATGTTTTTTAAGGCATTAAAAAAACATCCCGTGATGCGTAAAAATGGCTTGAAAATATCAGAATTTTATAGTTTGCATAAGTTTTTTATCATTGGGACATAATTAAATTTAATTTCTAAAGAACGCCATATGTCGATCCATACAGGTATATTGTGGATATGGTCGAGCAATAGGATCAGAAGTAACTACATATTTTTAATTTTTTTTAAAGGATATGGGATTTATCCGTACATGCTATATTTTACTCAAATGGATTCCCACACGAAGCCATTTTTGTTTATAAATAGAAGTGTAATTCAGTTTCAAATTCAAAACATTATGTATTCTGATCAATTTGAGTGCAAGTCCCTAACGAGTGAGTTAACAGGTACCTTGTAAGTGCTTGCTTAAATTTAAATCTTACTCTGTTCTGATATCCTACTAGCACTTTTGTTCTTGCAATGCATTACAATGTGAATGTTCTTCTGTTTCTTATTTGCAATTTTATGATCTTCACTTTCTTGGATCATGGTGCAAATAAATTCATTTTAATACTCCTTTTAGCAGCATTCAATCAAAATTTTGACATCATTTCCTCCATGCAAAAAGCATCTTCAAGATTATTGGGTTAACAAGTCACACCAAAAAAAATGTACATGGGTATAAACACCATAGTCTGATTATCTTCTCCCATATGCAAAAAAAGGCACATATGATTACCTGCATGAAAATTACACAAGTTTTTCCATTAAATTAAGAAAGAGGCGTAGGAGTACATTTAGCATCCAAAATCATTCTCACCACCGTGAGAAATAAAAAATGTTTATGAGATTTTCACGCAAACAAGATATTGTTAAAATATGATTTTCCTGACATGTATGAGTTCTTATTCAACGATTTGACAAATTTGCTTTTGCATTTATGTCTTAGAGTGTGAAGCCAAAAAAAATGACAAGGAGAAAAGACAATCTCTTTCACTTTTTTTAATATTCTGTTTTTTATATTCACTCGTCTTAGAGAGAGAAATGGAAAGAGATAAAGTTAATGAGGGAAAAGCTTGTTTTCTGTTTAGAGAAGAGAAAGAAAGGACGTTTCTCTCTCTACTCATAGGATAAAGAGAGTGGGAGGAGAGAGCTGAGGTGGGGAAGGTTACTAAGAGTTTATTTTAATTTTTCTTATCTTTTTTTTTTTTAGAGAGAGAGAGGTGAAAATAGAAAATAAATAGAGCAATATTGAGGCAGTTGGAAAATGAAAGGGTGGTTTCTCTCTTCATGTAGAGGAGAATATGAGAGAGTAGGTCAGAGAGGGCAAGTGATTTTTCTCTACAAAGGTGAGAGATTGGGAAAATGAGGCGTTGTTGCAACTAAAAGAAACGTGGCTGCTGTTGCTGGTTTGCTATAGAATGGAGGAGAAGGTGGTTGCAAATGAGAAGGGAGATCGCAATGTGATTCTGTGAGCGCATGAGAGAGTGATGAGAGACGGGAAGGTAGCATAAGTTGGGAACTTATGAGGAACAGGCCAAGTGAAACACAAAAAACAGAGTGAGATGTTCGTACAAGACAGAAAACAATAGAGGGTTTTGTGTGGCTACTAAAAGAAAGAAGAAAAAGAGCTGGGGATAGCATGGAACTGTTGAGGAGGTGGCTTTGCTTGAGGTGTTGGTTGATGAAGGAGCTAGAAGGTGTCAAAGTTTTGAGAAAAATAGGTTGAACACTGAATAGACTCAATGCATTTTCCCTTTGTTCTCATTCCATGAAATAATAATCTTACAATCTATTTTAGGTACAAAATATTTTGTATAATCTATTTTAGGTAACTTAATAATACATATTCCTAATCTAAATATTCAGCTAAAAGGGAAATAAATCAGAATAAAGATATTGAAAATAATTTAAATAAAGAAGCTCCTAAATATAAAAAAACTCTTAATTTAGCTGTCTGATTTCCGTTCTTCCTGATTAACATCCCCTCTCGAATTTATGATGACTGACCAAGAAGCATCTTTTGCCAACAAGAAATCGATAACATTGTTGGGACCAAAAATCCTCAAGCCGTGAGTGCCGAAGCCGAAGGTGCCGAAGCCTGAGAGTGTTGAAGCCAAGAGTCACGAAGCCGTGAATGTCGAAGCCTGAGATCTATGGTTTACAGAAGCCGAAGTCATCGATCTAGAAGGGGTGTTGAAGCCGAAGCCGAGGTAGACGAAGCGAAGCATAAGAAGCAGTCGAAGATGCCACAGAAGCAGCGATGTCTAGCGAAGAAGATCCAAATTGGACGAAAAATAATACAAACATAATAGCCCTTTTCAACACAAGAATCCTTGTATTCCACAATTAATGGATTTTGCGCTCCGGCAGCTGCTCAAACATATTCGGTACCTTCCTCAAAGATTTCGCGTAGGAGAAGACCAAAGCTCTAAGGTTGGCGCGAGGGAGGAGAGCCGCAACTAGGGCAGAGACGACGGTTAACAAGAAGAGTCGCAGCTAGGGCAGAGACGCAGGGAGGAGAGGAGATCACATCTATGTCCCTTGACGAGGAGATCGCAGGTTGACAAGGAGAGTCGCAGCTAGGGCAGAGACGACGCGACGAAGTGGTGAAGTGGCGAAGTAGCGCGGCTAGGAGAGAGTCAACGGGAAGTTTTGCGCGAACGAAGCAGAAGCAGATGCAAACGAACGAAGCTGTCGAAGAAGTCGCGAACGAAGCAGAAGCAGACGCAGGCGAACACAGGCGAACGTAGCAGAAGAAGACACAGACGCGAAGTTGCGCAAGAGAACAAAGCAGATGCAAACGAAGATGTCAAAGGTGTCGCAAACGAAGATGTCACGATGAGAGATCATGGCTAGGGCTACTGCTAAAGAATACCAAGGATTCACACCGATTCTAGCTTTATACCATGTCAAAGTTTTGAGAAAAATAGACTGAATACTGAAGAGGCTCGATGTCATTTCCCTTTGCTTTCAATCCATTAAATAATAATCTTAAAATCTATTTTAGGTACAAAATATTTTGTATAATATATTTTAGGTAACTTAATAATACATATTCATAATCTAAATATTTAGCTAAAAGGAAAATAAATCAGAATAAAGATATTGGAAATTCTTTAAATAAGGAAGCTTCTAAATATAGAAAACGCCTAATTTAGTTGTCTGATTTCCGTCCTTCCTGATTGATAGAAGGCATAAGCTAGTTTGTTGTTTTGGGTGGGCAAGAGAGCAATGACGAGTTAAGAGGAGATGCGAGCAAGTCTGGGGAGAAGAAGAGGGTTTCAAGTAGTGACTAAGAGAGGGTATCTTCGTGCATGGTAGTAATAGATTTAGTTTATACCTTTTGTTGAAATTTTGCTGCTCCAATCATAACAGAAAACTTAAGGCAAGTGGATTAATGTTCTATACCATTAGATCTATTTTCCCATGCCCTCAGATTGGAATCCATGTGCTTTCTTGTTGGATCGTCGGCCACTAAATATTTCTCATCTTTTTTTTTTTTTTTTTTTTTTTTTTTTTATGCCTCTTAGAGATGTTTGTATACACCCCCACTTGTGTAAAATCTTTTCATTATTTTAGTTATTACATGATATGAGAGCAAGATTAGCATGTCATTTTGGCTTTTGTACTTATTCTCCAAGGCTAAGATTTTTACTTTCAACCTTTACAAAAAGGTGACAGCAGCATAGGAGGGTGTGGGCGGCAGGAATGGCTAGTGGATGCAGGGAGGAAAGAGGTGTGGCAACAAAACATAAGGAATGTGAAAAGGTTGGGGAAAGATAGATCTCAACCTTAGGAGCAATATATAGTTGGAGCACCACTCGACCCTTGGGTATAACTATAGAATAAAAAACTCAAGACACTGACGGCTATCCCAACAAAAAACATACCAAAAACTGAGAATTCAAATCCTAATATAATACATATACAAGAAATGACTAGAAAGAAAGATAGGATAAAAAAAACATGTTGAAAATTGGAAGGGAATCGAGGGGAGTCGCTCAGTTCGGCTTTGCGTCGTTTGCACGACCTGGATGTCGCGTCCAGTCTTCGTCGAGAGAAATCTGGAGTCCACATTTTGATGCCCAGCAACAGTTTATTAGTTAAATACTTTTTAATCATGATGATGAAAAATACAATCCATAATATTCATAGTGTAATTTCCCTGTTGCATGATACTTCAATGACATCTAAAGAATATAATCATGATAGTTTGTCAGATAGCTATTGACATCAGGATTCAAAGGAAGTGTGATTTAATGTCTCAATTAAATATATAAAGAGGGCCTACTTTCCATCACTCAAGTTGGTGCACACTCTTTCTCTTAATGACATTCATTTTTTCAAAGCTCGGAGTACAATCTTCTTAGATTTCACCAAAAATGACTAAACTTATTTGGCAAGGTGCACCCAAAATGACCAAACTTATTTGGCAAAGTGCCTTACAACCACTCGGTACTATACCATAACTACTTGGCCATAAAATAGATTAGTTGTCACAGCTCAAAATATTAGGAAAACAAATTGAATTTACTCGTTAATGTATAAAACAATGTACTCAAAGAATTTGATTGACAAAGTTCTAGTCGGACAAAATTCAATCAGCCTAAATGGACTACGTGGTTAATTTATGTCAATGAGTATCTAAGTCATGGAAGTCACCCCTTATACAAGAGCACTTTAGACTACAAATTGTATTTAGTGTTTTCAATAGTCAAGGATTTAAGTATTCATATCTCATTTATCCCCTACGTAAATTCCTATAAGTTTGATTTGATTCGTGAACCACACGTCAAATATTAAAATGGTTTTCCTAAAGAGTAATTGTTGACATTGCATATAATCCACAATTTAATTGGATTAAACACAAACAAACATTAATATAATTTGATAAAAGGTTTAGTAAAAGCAGTAAATTATCACCTATTTTGCAAAAAATAGACTATCCTGCATTTTGAACACCAAAATATTCTGAGGAGAACCCCCAATACCGTTTAAGTTGCCATGAGCAAGAAAAGATCTATTATGAGAGAGAGAGAGAGAGAGAGAGAGAGAGGGAGAGAGAAACTTTTATAGAAGAGTTCAAGACTTGATTTTTTTAATTAATAATAATGATAATAAAAGCACAAAAAGTTTCTTGTTATATATGATTTCACATGTCATATTATATCTATAATAGCCTATCCAATATATATATATATAGACATATACATTTGAAAATATAGATTCGCTTTGTGCAATGCACATTAGAAAAAAGTGGGAAAATTATAACCTTTAGTTGTGCTTGCTGACAACATGCCTCACTGCAATGAATTCTAGATGGGCGGAGTAAAAACAAGCTTCCTCAAAAAATAAAAAAATAGCATTGAAAGTTTGTACAATATAACAAGAATTGTTTTATTGTTAAAGTTTTCAGTATTTATAAGGTAAAGTTAGCACGTTCAAAATATGAAGAGTAAATATATTTTTTAACTTCTATAGTTTTGCTTTAGATGAAATTGGGATATTTTACCTTATTGGGTGAATGCCTTTCAACGATGTCCAGCAGTGTCTGCAAAGATCTTGATTTTAAATTACCATCTAAGTTTTGCACTAAGAGAACGATGATATTAATAAGCCCCTCCATGGCAATCCAATACTTTGTGATCACGTTTTCTTTAATGACCTTCGTTATTTCAGAAAGAGCATCATCATAGGCAGCGTAGTTATCAGACAGCAAGATCTCCTTTGCTCGTCTAATTTTGAGGAAATAGTTTTGTTCTCGCCATTGCTGAATTGACTGTCTTACAGAAATGTTGGGCCGTAACGTTATATCCTCAATACGTTGACCTGTGCGAGGGTCTTCATTACGCCCTTGCGAAAACCACGCTTCAATGGCTGTTTTTTCACATGCAGTCCCGGTGCAAAGATTGACAGGATCAACCATCACACACTTGGTTATAGGGCATATAAAAGCATCATATTCTAAAATTGTACCATTGCTAATTGCAGAATTCTCAACGGTGTCCCTTATTAGTTCATACTGCTTCTTAATTTCATTTTCATCAAGTGCAGCATCAGAGTGAGATAACAATTCAATTACTTGCTTCAGGAAGATTTCTTCTTTCTTCTCTTTACGTGCAGCAGCCTCTTCCCTTTCCTTTCTCAAGGAATCAAGTTCTTTTCTTATTTCTGATGGCTCAATGGAGACACCGACTGATAATGCTATTTGCTCTAGCATGCTATTTCTAAAGCTCTGATCATGCTTTTGCTCTATAATACCTTTATTAAGCTTCTCGAGGATCAATAAGCTTGATTGAGAGGCTACATATTCAGCATTTTGCATTTCAGCTTGCAGCTTATTCACCTTGTCAGATATTTCGTACAGGACTTCAATTTCTGCCAGGGGAAACATGGCTAGAGATTTTCCTATAGCCCTCGTTGCTTCTTGTATCTCATTAGCAATACGACGGCAAAATAGAAAAGAGTAGAATCTTCCACAGTTCTTATACTTCTGCACTAAACATTCAGCTTTATCACAATCTTCTTTGAGAAACTCTAAAGTGCGTTTTAAAGCTCGAGTATCATTCAGTTCATGACTTTGCAGTAACAGAAAGGTTCGTGCAATGTCTAAAAGATATTCAGATAGAGTTTTAAAGCATTCTTTCTCTATAAGGACATCATTTATAGCATTTGCCGTTAATTTTACTTGGTTTACCAACTCTGATATAAATGTTCCAATTGGTACCAGCTCCAAGCCTGACATTCTGATAATCTACAAATTAATAGCTCAATTAAAGATTTTCTCTTGATATTATTGTCGTCATCAGGACTTAATGAAAATGTTATCAGAGCAGCATCGAAGTGCAACACAAGATGCACTTATCCTCTCCTCTGACGAAGGATTTTCCGGACGTAATGTGCGCACTAGGGCTATGAAGCGAATACCTGCTAGGCAAAAGCACAACAAAATGATTAGACATGCCCTTCAGGTGCAAGCCCAAAAAGTAAGAATCATAGTAAAACAAAAATAGGGTGAAAGAATATGCAATAGATCCACTTGAAAATGATCAAATGTCTGCTATACCATCGAAGTGTGCAAAACAAAGGGAATTTGATGCACCTTGCCAAGGAAATTGAAAAATTAGTGCTATACAAATAAATCAATATGATAAAGGGTGGAGGACATTAGTTCCATTGGATCCTATTTTACCTCTCTGAGGGTTATGCCAGTGCCAAAGCCTTGTTATAATCCAAAGAAAAAGAAAAAGGAGGTTACGAGGAGACCAAAAAGAAAATACAGAGGAAGAAGGGAAAATCCACTATCAGCTTAGTGAACTATTATAAAAAATGTACTTTCATGACGAATCAAGTGTGCTTTTTGGGTTACATTATATCCAATGCAGGCATTCAAACTAACCCAACAAAAATCGAAGCCATAATAAGCTGTACAACACCACGATCATTCACCGAACTGAGACAGTTTTTGGGACTAACATCATTCTATCGTCACTTCATCAAGCATTTCAGCAATATTACCACTCCCCTAACTGAGCTTTTAAAAAGCAAGGAGTTCACTTGGCCAAACACCGCTCGGACTAGCTTCGACACACTAAATGAAAAATTAACACAAGCACCAATTCTAGCCTTACCAGATTTCACACAATTGTTCGAAGTAGAATGAAATGCTTTGGAAACAGGGTTGTACTGAGCCAGGGCGGTCACTCCATTGCTTTCTTCAGTGAGAAACTTAAGGAGACTAGGAAGAAATACTCAGCATACAACAAAGAGTTCTATGCAGTTGTAAGAGCCCTCGAGCGCTGGAGCCACTACCTATTAACAAGTGAGTTCACATTATTCACAGATCATGAAGCGTTAAAATTTTTGAACAACCGGAGTACTTAAACATAAAGGTTGACACGCAACTTGAGTAGAATTTTTTATATCATTCAATTTCGTACTTAATCACAAAGTGGAGAGCCAGAACTGAGTCGCAGCTGGACTATGCCGATGTCACTTATTAATCACTTATGTGCAAACAAGCATGCAAGATCATCAAAGACCTATACACCTCAGACGAAGACTTCAAAGATATCTAGGAACAATGTTAGGAAAAGCCTACCGGGCAATACTACCGCGTAGATGGCTACTTGTTCTATCACAATAAACTATGCATTCCAAGATGTTCCATGAGAGAAGCAATTATACAAGAGAACCATTATGGAGGCCTCGCGGGCCATTTCGACAGAGACAAGACTCTCACCTTCATCAAAAAACACTCCTTTTGACCCCAACCAACAAGAAATGTGGAGTGTCACATTGACAATACATGATTTACCATTTGACAAAAACAAGAGGGCATAATAAATGGGTTGTATACTTCGTTACCAGTACCTAAAGCACCTTAGGTGGATATCAACATGGACTTCGTACTAGGTCTCCCCAGGATGCAGAGGAACAAAGATTTTGTAATGGTTGTAGTTGACCGATTTTCAAAAATGGCGCATTTCGTACCCTGCCACCACACACTAGACGCATCACATATAGTTGATCTATACTTCAGGGAGATTGTAAGGTTGCACTGGATCCCCAAAACAATTACCTCTGGCAGAGATGTCAAATTTCTAAGCCACTGTTGGAGAACCTTATGGGGGAAGTTAGGCACCAAGCTCCAATTCAGTTCAGCAGCCCATCCATAGACAAACAGTCAGATTGAAGTAGTGAACAGGAGTCTTGGAAAACTACTGAGATGTTTCGTGGGAAAGAATATCAAACAATGGGATCTCATTCTAGCTCAAGTAGAGTTCACCTACAACAAATCCACGAGTTAAACAACGGGACGCAATCCATTCGAGATTGTGTAAGGCAGCAATCCACTCACACTGCTTGATCTTGTTCCACACCTGCTGACGTCAAAACTCAGCTAAGATGCTACAAAACGAGTTCACGGACTTCAACAAATACATGTAGAGGTTGACAATGAAACTGCTAGACAAAACAAAAATATCAGGCTCAAGCAAACAAATTAAGGAAAAATGTAACATCCCAAGAAGGCAACCTCATTTGGATTTAGCTAAAAAAGGAACAATTCCCCGTAATAGCATTTGGGAAACTAAAACCCAGAGCAAACTGACCTTTCAAAATACTGTAAAAACTCAATGTCAACGCATTGAAGATTGACTTATTAGGGGACTACAACATTTCAGCCACAATCAACGTTGTTGATTTGACTTCGTAATTTGAGGATCCGGAAGCTTCGACAGTTAAGATTGAAGCTCCCCCAACCCCAAGAGACTGACGCGGAGCTCTAGAGGACTGGCCTGGGTTTGGTCCAGCATTGCTGGACCGGCAAATCCTCAGGGTGGAGAGGCCATCGACCCTCCTTTCCTTCCTTTCCCCTTTCCTTTTTCTCTTCCCCCTCACCCTTTTCTTCCTCGAACTTTCCTATGTCAAATCCTTTTCTAAAATCTGAAATTTTAATTATATTTTATTCTCCTTTCTTATTTTAAATCCTTATTTTAAAATCTTTCCTAAAATCTGAAATCTTAATCATATTATATCCTCTTTTCTTATTTTAAGTATTACCTAAAATAAGTCTAGCCTCTTTATAAATAGGGGATAATGTATTTAGAGTTACGGGTTTTATTTATGAATCTGAATTCATTATTGTCTTAGTATTTTCCCCTGTTGAGGTTGTATTCGACAACGAGGGAGATGCTCCGACTGTAACCATGTCTGAGGTGGTGATTATTTTTGTCGTTTTGACTCCGTCCTGAACCCCGATAGCCGGCTGCCCCCTTCCAACTCCACCTGTCACACCTTCTGTAGCTTCCCTGCAGGCCACACCCTCCCCACTGCTCCTAGCGCTCCCTGCCCTCCTGCCAGTGGTCTTTTTCCGCCTTCTAGACCACCGCACCTCCCCTGCCTCCTCAAGCCATCACATGTAGCTTCCCTGCCAGCAACCACCCACGGCACCTCCTCTCTGCCCTCATGCAGGTCGCCGCCTCCTCTGCTTCCTCTGACATTCACCAACAACCTGCCTTCCAGCCGTCCGCCCTCCTTCTACTGCAGAGGCCGCAGCACTCTCTCCCTCCTTCCAGCAGGCCCTCTAGTTGTCCCAGTGCATCCCGCCAAGTGCAAGCCTCCTTCCTATAGTCCCGCAACTTTGGTCTCCGCTCCTCAGCCTCAACCACGCGTCCTTCTCCTTGCTCCCTGCCCCCTGCCCATGCAAGCATTGCACCGCCACCCAACCCCAGCAGGCAATATCTTCCTTGCATCTGCGTAGTTAATCTACAATAATCAGAAAGCTTATCCATTAATAGTGAAACTCAGGGTATTCACTACTCATTAAACGACCTAATTGTTCTCAAATATGATGCCTTTTTTGACATCTAATTCATAGTCCATCTAAAGATAGTGCATATAATTCTTCCATACTCTCCTTAATGTTTATGTCTCATGAGGGATGATCGAGATTAACCATATTGTCCAAGCCCTCCACTACTCACAAATGCAAGAGACAACTATTCAAGGCTGCATTGCATAACACATATATTGGGCTAGAGGAAATAAATCCAACCAAATATAGCTAAATCATAGATAATTAATCCCATAATCAAAAGAATGATTCTAATTTGGTGATCTTCAATAAGCCAATACTCTAACCAGCTAATACTCCTTACCCCTAAAGCCAATATTTCCAAAGTCCCTAGTAAAAGAACTTTGAAGTACCCAAAAACTCATGAAACTCATGAACAGTTTACAAAATCTCACAAAATAAACTAGAAGTCAAATGTCAGCCACCAAAATTAGAGCAAAAAATAAATAAAATTACAAAACAAAACGTCTCTTTAAACTCACAATCTCACTTCCATGAGGTAACTAATAATACAGATACCATTCATGTGCTTTTTAAAAGTTCACTTGTCTCTTATTTGTGAATGGACTGGGCTTAGCAGGTAATAGAATATCTAAGAATAAGGGACAAGTGTGATTTAGAAAACATATTGGATTAAAAGTAATGTTATGTAATATATAACATTATGGAGGATAAGTGTAGTTTCCAAAAGCACAAGAGTTATATATGTAATGTTAACTATTTATAGAAGAGGTTAGTTAAGTAACCCAAAACAAAAAATTTACCGACAAAAAGCTACCTTGATTTTAGCAAACATGAGAATATTCAACCAAGAAAGTATACCAAGGTCAACAAGTATAAAGAAATTTGAATGTCAAAAGTTCCTAGAATAAGTCCACGTTAGGCAAAAAACCTAGTAATTGTGAACCATGCAAAAAGTAGGATTGTAGCTGTGTGGCCAACCAAATGCATTAAGGTCTGAGACATTCAATAAGAATTTAATTCAAGTAGCACTCTAATAGATATCCTTGCATATATCCTCAAAGATTTTTGTAATCTAAGACAAAATTTCTTTAAATCTTACAAGACCACCCACACCCTACAATCCATAAATCAAGGGCATCTAATATGTCTAACTCCATAAATATGTGCCAAATCTTCAAAATTTTGATATGCACGGGACTCCTCCCGTGTTGCCTGAACCCATCCAGGAAGGACCGGCCTGTACTGGCCATAAGGACCTAGATTAGCCGGCCCAGCCTAGATCTGATCCAGGGGATCACAGTGCCCGAGTGGGGTCCTCCAAAGCCACTAATCAAGTATACAAGGAAGGGAATTAAGGGAGACTTTTGGGGGGGATATTTGAAAAGGACTCTTCGGAAGTATGTATTAGTGCCTAAGGGCTAGGGTTTGTTTTATTTTTTTATGCTATGTTTGGTGCTGCAGTTTTCTTCTTTCTCTTGTGGAGCTCCTAGCATTGTTTAGAGTTTGTGGAGAGCAGATTTACCTCTCATATAATAGATCACCCTTATATCTTGCTTATTTTTTGTTGATTTTCGTAAGAGCAGCCCTTGTTTGAGTGTTTGTCTAT